CAATGTTTTTTGTCGTTGTCTCTTGCTCAAGTTTAACTCTTTTGGAGAATGTTCCAAAATGTATTTATGAATTAATGTTTCAATGTGTAATAAATTAAATCCAACATAAATATGAGATTGTTGGAACGTTCCATTTTGAGAAAAAGTTGACTGTGGTGAATTTTGTTGTTGCTGTTGAAGGAGTGACTGTTGAATATTTTGTAACTGTTGTTGCTTGTATTTCATTAAAATTTCCGAAGTTGAAATGAATGTCTTATCATTGGGATCTGAGGAAGTACTGTTTGCACGTGTCTTGGATTTCACAAGTTTCTTTAAACCTCCAATGGGTGAAGAATTTCCAACGATGGCACTCACAGACGACGATTTCGTTTGTGAAAAGTTCGTGTCATCGGTCGTTCCACCACTACTGAGCGATGATGAAGAAGTATTTGCGTCTGTCATTGACGATGATAAATATCCAAATGAACTTGTTGGTTGAGAAAATGACGTTTGTGTCGTCGTGGCAGTGACTGCACTTGTTGAATTGAAATTTGTGTCATGATGGTACAATGAATTGGAATTTCTTCTTCCTCTTGGAGAAACTGGTGATCGTGCTGAATTTGGTAGCAATCCTGCAGAATTCGACGTCGTCATTAATAATAATGCATTGTCTTGATACAATCGAATCGTGTCTTGTAAAAATTCAATTTGTTCCAAATGCGCTGATTTTTGGATGTATTGAAAGAAAATTTCACGTCCAATTTCCGAATTCATAATTTGTGAATATTCATCTTCAATCACAGTATTGGCATGACTAGTATTAATGTTGTTGTGAGAATGATCATTGGAAAGATAATCTTCAGAATGTTGTGGCATCATCAATGAATTTTCATGATCCATGAAGGATCCCACTGTCAATCGTTGAAAGGACACTCGTGGTGAATAGGGTGAAGTTGCTGATTCACCACTGGTTTGTGGAGTCATTGTAGAGCCTAATGCAGTTGTTATGGATGTTGTGGTTATGGATGTTGTTGATGAATTGTTGGTGGTGGTGGTGATCGTCGTATGATGGCCACCACTAGCACCACCACTCCATGTTCGATCCATGGATTTTGTACGTCTCGGAGCGATGGAAATTCTCGGAGAGGTCAATCCTCCAGTGCTTGAACCATCATCACGACCAGTCTGACTGACCTGCAAAGTTTCATCAAAGAAGGTTTCCAAAGCTTCTTTGGTCGTTGTTGCTGTTGGAAGTGTCGCAGAAGTGGTGTTCGTGAACAAGGAAAGAAGAGGAATTTTACGTTTCGTTGGAGTAGGACTATTACTACTGCTATTGTTATTGTTGTTGTTATTGGTAATGGGACTACCATGATTCATCATCAAGAAGGGATGGGTTGTTGTTGGAGTGGTGGTGGTGTTTTCCGGGAGAGGGGATGAAGGAGAATGAACAATGACTGAAGAGGAAGAAGAAGCACCAGCACCATTACTACTACTATTATTCGTATTGTTGCCGTTATTATTATTATGATTATTACTCTTTAAATTAGGAGCTGATTTAGACTTGTGTTTGGTCTTGCCTCCGTATACAGCCGAACGCTCTTGTTCATGAACAGGATCATCATCATCAACACGATGAGAGGAAGTTGTTCTAGAACTGAACTTTTGGATGTTGGGAGAAGAGGATTTGTTTTTCAAGGAAGGAGCGAATTTTCGTTTGATGGTTGTGAGAAGGGAATTTCCGGTCGTTGATGTTGTTGTGGTGCTGGTGGTGGTGGTGGTAGTGGAGTTATTCATGATGTTATGATTATGGTTGTTGGTGCTGATGGAATGATTGATGTTGTTGGCATTTCCGAAGGATGATGAAGAGGAAGCATTGGCCGTTGTTGTTTTGCTTGGTGTCATCATCATTATTGAGGAGAGAGAAGGAGGTTAATGACAACGATAAGAGTGTGTCGTTATTAATTGTGGTAGTAGTAGTAGTAGTAGTATGGAGCTAGGCGTTGTTGTGGGAAGAGAGAAGGGGGATGAGATGGATGACTGTTTTTTGTTGCGTGAATATAACTGAACTGCTTTTGACAGAATGACGAGCTGTAAATTGCTAAAAAGAGAAGGTTTGTTTGTACTCATATTGAAATTTAAATAACAAGTGCATTCCAAAAGTACCATAATTAATGGGTATCAAGCTGATTGTTTCGTGCAATTAGCTTCAGCACTGTCATCCTGGCTTGTATTATCACATGAGACGTCCACTCTCCCTTCAAAACAAGCAAATTTTAGATTCAGAAATTGATGATTCAGAAGAATGAACAATTAAATAATTTATCTCACCAAGGTGACAACTACAACATGATCATTGTCGTTATTAATTCTGTCAACATTCATCTCTGAAGAAATAACCACAGGTCTTTCAGATTTTGGAGTTTCAAAGAAGACTTGCATACCCTTCAAGTGTTGTTCAATGAAAGAGGTGTGTTTCTTCAAAATTTCAACAATTTGTGGTGAGCTCTTGCCTGTCACAAATACATCAACCTTATCGTCAAAGTTCAATCCAGCTTTCTTTCTAAGTTGTTGAACCATACTTGTTGTTTCTCTGCAGAAACCTAATTCCATCAACTCTTGACTCACCTCAGTGTTGAGTATCAAGGTACCATTGCTGCAATCATCAGCAAAGTAGTTCTTTTCAGTGCCAACAAATTTGCTAATGACAATCAATTCTTCACTGGTAATTCTTTCACCACACAACACGACTTCTCTGGTCTTCAAGAATTGAACCAATTGCTCATGTGTTAATGATTTGATAGCTTGATTCACTTCTCTGAACTTCTTGCCTAAACGTTGTCCCAAAAGTCTGTTATCGGGGCTTGCTTCTAATTTGACGCTATATTGTCTAATGTCACTAGTTGCCACAATGTTACCGTGAACGTTGAGTTCCTTCTTAATGAAATAATCCATTTCCTTCACTCGTCTAATGAAATCTTCGTCAACATTGCAAACAATAAACTCAGAAACTGGTGTTCTCGAAGGAATATTCTTTCTGACACGCAAAGTTCTTCCGACCTTAACAACGCTTTGCATTGCCTCAACAGTTCTTTCAATTTCTAAATCAATCTTACTCTCATCACATTGAGGGAGCATTTCAAAGTGAACGCTAGCTTCGCTCTTAGAAAGTAAATTTTGAGATTTTGATACATCTTTTCACACAAGAATGGAGTAAATGGTGACATAATTCTCACAGAATTATACAATGCAATGAACAAGGCAGACAAAGCAGATAATCTATCCTCCTTAGTTTGACCCTTTTGTTCTCCCTTCAAACGTTTGTTATTCATCTTGACGTACCAACGGGTAAGGTGATCGATAAATGTTTCTAATTTTGGTGTAACATTGTACAACCGATAGGCCTTCATTTCTTCAGCAATGGCTTTCAGTAAACTGTTGCTGGAGGAAACAATCCACTTATCCATAATATTTTCAATCTTGGCAGAGTTGGCAATATCACTGTTGAAGGGTTCTCCAGTCTCCGTAACGTATCGTCTCACAGCTTGGACGAAGAATCTATAGGCATTGTACCATTGCAACAAGACATCCTTTACGACATCCCTGACACCGGCTTCCTTGAACTTTAGAGGTTCAGCTCTAACTACAGGAGAGTTAATCAAGTATAATCTCAAAGCATCAGATCCGTGCTCATCAATGACCAGCTTTGGATCTGGATAATTCTTCTTACTCTTACTCATCTTTGAACCATCCTCAGCAAGAACAAGTCCGTTCACAATGACATTTTGGAATGGGCAAGTATCAAACAAGGCAGTACCCAAGACCAACAAAGTGTAGAACCAACCTCTTGTTTGATCCAAACCTTCAGCAATGAAATCAGCAGGGAATGTGTTCTTGAATTTTTCAGCATTTTCGAAAGGATAGTGATTTTGTGCGTATGGCATGGATCCAGATTCGAACCAACAATCGAACACATCGGTAACTCTCTTCAAAATCTTACCAGTTCCCTTTTGACTTGGAATAGTAATTCCATCAATGTATTGTCTGTGAAGATTTGTAATACCCTTCACACCGCTCAATTGTTCTAATTCTGCAACAGAGCCTACAGCAACCATTTCCTCACCTTCATCACTCATCCAAATTGGGATTGGTGTACCCCAGTATCGACTTCTTGAAATGGTCCAATCCTTGCAATCAGCCAACCAGTTGTGGAATCTACCTTCTTGAACATGTTCTGGCACCCAGTAGGTTCTCTTGTTGTTTTCTAATAATCGCTCTCTCAATTCAGTCACTGCAACAAACCATGAAGGGATGGTTCTATAAATGAGTGGAGTATCAGATCTCCAACAGAAAGGATACTTGTGAGCAATAGCTTCCTTCTTGAATAATCTAAGACGTTCTCTCAAATCATCACAAATGTGATGATCAGCATCCTTAATGTACATTCCCTTAAATTTTTCAATTGGGGACACGAAACGACCGACATCATCCAATGGGCATGGTGGCAAAACTTCCTTTCCATCAAAAATTCCGTGTTTTAAGCAGACACGATAGTCGTCCTCACCAAATCCTGGAGCTTGATGGACAATACCAGTACCACTTGTATTGGTGACATAGTCATCAGAAACAACTTTGAATGCAACTGATCCAAATTCAGCGCGATAAAAATCATAAAGTGGCTCATATTTCAAACCAACCAATTCTGCACCCTTGAATTTTCCATTGGTCTTTGCCTTTTGAAATATTTTGGCACTAATTCTTCCAAAATAATGAAGTGCCATTTCTTTTGGTCATCATAAACTCTCACATAGTCAAAGTTTTCATTGACACAGAGAGCCAAGTTACTTGGCAAAGTCCATGGTGTAGTGGTCCAAGCCAAAAGCTAGTATCTTTGAATCGTTCATCATTAGTAATGATTGGGAAAGCAACAGTAATGGCAGTGTCTTGCACATCCTTGTATCCTTGTGCCACTTCAAAATTTGAAAGTGGAGTGGTGCAACCTGTACTGTATGGCATGACACGAACTCCCTTGTAAACGAGACCCTTGTCCCACAATTGTTTAAAGACCCACCAAACACTCTCCATAAATGAAAAGTTCATGGTCTTGTAATCATTCTTAAAATCAATCCATCTGCCCAATCTAGTAATAATTTCCTCCCAGTCTGAGGCATATTTCATGACAATGGATTCACATTTTTCATTGTATCTAGCGATACCATAATTTTCAATGTCAGCACGACTCAATGTCATGGAAGCAATCTTTTCCTTCACTTTCTGCTCGTCTTTCATGTCTTCTTCAGAGAGAAGCTTTTGGCTTTCAATCATTTCTCTCTTGAGAATCTTTTCAATTTCAAATTCAATTGGTAAACCGTGGCAATCCCATCCAAATCTTCTTTCAACATAGTGTCCAGTTTGGTGAGCGTACCGAGTGACTACATCTTTAATAGTACCTGCGAGAATATGACCGTAGTGAGGATGCTATAGGTTCCATAGTAGTGATGAAACAACACGATTTCATAATGATGATCGGTTGATAATATTTATATGTGCCATTCATTGATTCATCATCGATTAATTATGTGTTGACAATTATAGTATCGGGTAACGTGAGCAATAATGAGATGAACAATAACCCACAATTCATTGAAGAATTCAGAAGATTTGAAGAATATTACCGAAACTCGTGTTAGGAGAATGACAAGAAATCACAATATATTTACATACGCTAAATTCATGTAAGATTCCAAATTGTGGAAAAGTGGATATCACGAACCAAAAATTCAATTCCAACAAAATATATATCAGGTTGATGATTCAAGTATTCGGCAACCATATATTGAAAGAACAACAAACGGACGGGTAGAGAGATGAATATTCAGCAAAACCTCAGAGTCATCATCATCTTCAAAATCTCTCTCCCGAAACTACATACCCTGTTGCAAATGGAGGACCATCATAGAAAGAATATGGCTTCTTTCCTTCAGACATCTTTACGCTTGTTTTAAAAGCATCAATATCCTTCCAGAAGGCGAGTACCTTCTCCTCTTCTTGTGGGAAGGAAATATTGGCATCCACTTCTTGCAAGAGTTGTTGTGGGGTGTTGTTATTTTGGAGCATTTTTTTGTTTCGATCTCGACATGCTCCACATGCTTTGATTTTAATGATCCTCATTCCAAAGCAAGAGCAGCATCTCAATCGTGCACTCACTCTCTTTAATGGGAGAGGTAAAGGAAGGAAATTAAAGCAAATCAGAAAGTATTAAATTTGAAGACTTTTCAAACTCGAGCATGCATTTGTTCAATTCAAGCATCCCTTGAAAGAAAGGAAACCACTCATATACTTTCGGAATGTTCAAAAGCTTGATATGAAAAAATGTCATGTTTATCGAAAAGGGCTGGTCTGCTAGAGGAACTCAGGGATTGCTCCATCATAACTGTGAATAAAGCGTTCTGTTGGATGTTTTTAAAGTTACTTAATTTGAACATTCTCAACTTGTACATTTTAAGAAATTTTGTATGCCAAACAGAAATTAAAAAAAAACAATTACGCCATCCCCATTATTTGAATTCAACAACAACAACTCTTTCATGATGATACTTCCTTCGTTCCAAAATTCTCTATTCAACCATGTAAAACACTTGATGGCCTTGGCAACCGTTTCATCATCATCGCAAACAAATTCCGTCGTGAAGAAGTGTGATTCTGCTCCGAACATTTCCTTCATGTTGGCCCGAGAACGAGAATTGTTTTCCATTCAAACCATGAATGTGAGGGTAATACATGTCAATGAGGAAATAGACTCTACCATTCATCATGACGCGGATATCAATGAAGCCTTGAACGAGAATTCCCAAATGTCATTCTATGAAATACCATCCTCTCAATGGCTGACAGGCTTGCTTCCAAATGAAGAGAACAACAAGTCACAATAATGGACAATGATATTTCATGTGAAGTGACATCACACTCTTGAATCACTGACATCTATGACACTCTTAAATGTTTTCATGTTATTGATGCAAATAGTTATGACATTATCAAATAGTTATTGACATTATCTGATACTGATTCCGTGTTTGGATTGTTTTGAAGAAATTGGATTTTTCTTTACAAGGAAGCAATTCTGACAGAAATCGAATACATAAACAAATACAAACTAATGCAGAGCCTAACTGTCAGATCAAGATGTTGATATGAATGGGTTTGTTTTTGAATGCAAAAGTGTATATTTCAAGATGACCGATCAAACTTTGTTTAAAACAGGTATTGAAGTGAAGTTTCCTTAAAAATCGAAAATCGAAAATATTGTTTATAATCAAATTCATTGTGACAAACAAAGGTGGAACAATACAATGAAATGACAATGTTGAATATGTGAACAAAATTCTGGTTTTTCAAACGTTTATTTTGATCGAAAAGCCTTAGATGAATATTATTCCTTTTATAAATCGTTGATTATTCTGTTATTTCTTTTTAGGTATGTAAAACGTATTCTTCTCCTTGTAAAAGGTTAGCCATCTTGTTTTAAACACAAGTTTTGGTTTTGGATTGTGTTTGTTGAAACTCCTGATTCCTTACAAAGCTTAACAACCAATCCATAGCTTTCTCAGGACTGATTTGAAAAAAGCCTTAAGTGTCCAAACTAAACACTTTTGAACTTAAAAAATATTCTTCAACGTTTACGAAGGAAAAGGAATGCCACCCCACAAACAGAGAAAGCAAAGAGAATTTGTGATGGATAAGGATGATGAAGAGAGAGTGGAAGCTCTTCCTCAATCAGATGAAAATAGAAGGAAAGAAAGAAAATCCAAGGTTTGGTATCGCTAGGATTGGTCAATGCAATCAATTCAGAAGGACTTAAGAATCAGGCAAAAGATATCATTTCGGTGTTACATGGTATGGGTTTTTGAGAGATCATGGAGACTATGAGGATGTTTTGAATCGCTTCATCAATGAACGATTACTACAAAAAGATAGAAATAATTTTGAACATACTTTGTTTATGCGGGACATTCTTGTTCCTTTTAAGGTACATTGTAAGACCTCTTCTCAGTTTGTTAAAGATGTTCTTGTTCCTGTTCGAAACAACCAAATAGCAACAGAAGTGTTTCCCTTTGTTCCAAAATTACAAGAGGTTTGGTTTGATGAAGGAGTTGATATTAAGGAATCATGTAATTACGTGTTGGCACCAGAAGGGGTGGGGAAAACTGCTTTGATTTCGAGAAAATTAGAGCCAATCCAGGCATCATGATGACATGCTCACCTGATTCTCAAAATCTCTCTGATAGCAATGGTGATGCAATTTCTATTCAACTATTAAGAATGTTCAAAGAAAAGCCAATCATTGATATCAATGCTACTGCAAGTCAACTAATTCTTTGTAATTTTATCGCAAGATTACTATTTCTTCACTTTTCATTAACTATATGGGAACAAACGGAGAACAAAACACCATTCGATAATCCTCTCCAAATGTTATCTTATGCTCAATATAATAGAAATACTATGAAAGTATCTTCAGAAATTTTTTCAGAAATAGTGAAAAGTAATCCCTGGATATCTGCCCAGCCTTACTATATAAGTAATTTCTTAAATTTTTTAATGCGAAAGTTATATGATCGATTGAACCTGAGAAATGATTCGCCATTTATTATTGCTATTGATAACGCAAGTCTATTCTTGCAATTCCAAACTCCAATATTATCTAA